AGAGTGAGACTGCATCTCAAAAAAAAAAAAAAAAAAAAGGACGTAATAAAGGAATAGACTTTCTCAAAAGAATGCATACAAATTGCCAGCAGGTAAATTAAAAAATGCTCAATATCACTAATCACCAGAAAACATAAATCAAAACCACGATGAGATATAATGTTAGATTGGCTGTCATTAAAAAGATAAAAGATAGCAAGCACAGATGAGGATGCAGAAAAAAGAGAACACTTATACACTGTTGTTGGGAATATAAATTAATATAATCATTATAGGAAACAGTATGGAGGTTCCTCAAAAAATTAAAATCAGAACTGTGTGACTCAGCAATCCTACTACTGGTTATGTATTCAAAGTAAATAAAATCGGTATATTGAATAGATGTCTGCACTCAGCACACACAATAGGGTCAAGATATGGAATGAAGCTAAATGTTCATCAAACAATAAATGGATAAAGAAAATACAGTACATATATACATATATATATATATATATACACACACAATAATTCAGCCATAAAAAGGAAAGTTATGTCATTTGCTACATTTATGAACTGGGAGGCCATTATGTTAAGTAAAATAAGCCATAGAAAGACAAATATCACATTGTCTCACTGATGTGGGATCTATAAAAGTTGATTTCGTAGAAGTAGAGAGTAGAACTGTGGTTACCAGAAGCTGACGTGATTAGAAGAGAAAAAGAGTATGGAGAAATGTTGGTCCAAGAGGGAATATTCTCAAGAGATCTATCGTGCTGACTTAATGGCAGCATATTTTATTATTAAAAAACACAGCAAATATTATGTGTTTGTATCACAATAATGTTAATTATTTGAGATAATGCATTTACCAGTTAGTTACATTTAATCACTCCACAATGTATATGTGTTTCCAAACATTATGCTATACATGATAAGTACATGCAATTTTACATGTCAATTGAAAAACAGTGGACTTAAGCAAAAAGGAAAATATAAAGTAGACATAATAACAGGCCTACTGACTGAAATTGTTTTATTACTTTTAAATATGTGGTTTTTAAAAAAAGGAAATTTCTACTAAGAAGTTGATAGTATTTTATCAATATCTGAGAGGTAAGTGACCTGCTCCAACCCCAACCCCAACTCATAGACCAATGACAAGTGGAGTTCAAATCTAATCATGAGGATTGTAATTTAGAACAGAAAATAGTTAAAAAATGAGCTGAATTTAATAACTTATTTAAAGCCCTAGAATCTGAAAAAAACTGACAGGGAGGTCAAAATATGT